TGCGGTAAAATTATTACAAAGAGAAAAGCAACAGTTTCTTTATAAGGAAATATTAGGTATTCATTGACAGAGTAGCCAGTTATCTTTCTCTTTACTCCCCAACCATTATACTGTGATTAAAGTGTAGTATATATTCTTTTTATCACTGCTGCCTGGATTTTATAAAAAACTTGCTTTTAAAACAATTTCTCTAGAAAATAGGTTTCTTATGTCTTGTATTCCAGTATTGAGAGAGCTTTCCTTCCGAACTTTTCCTTTGAGTTACTGTGGAACGTCAACAGCTTGGTGATATTACTCTCTCTTCGCTTTACATCAGCTATTCATTTGAGTTGCTGCTGCCGTTGAAGTTCTTCAAGTGATGTGGTTTCTGTTTATTTGGTACAGTTCTTTATGATTATGTAACGCCAATCCACACGGTTCGAAGAAAAATGCAGTTTTGAGACCCAACCTCCCCCACCAAAAAAAGAAAGAAAGTGATGTATAAAAGTGAAATTTGTTGCTTTTTTTTTTGCCTATTTTAAAATCATTTTATATTTCATGAGATCATTTTGTCAGTTATTTCCTGTTTTACATGTGCAGATTTTCTAAGCGTAGCTTAGATTCGGCACAAGGCCTAAAGTATAGGTTACCCCGTGAGAATCGAACTCACTATTCATTCGTAAATGTTCTAGCGAAACAAGCTTGCTAACAATTACGTCGAGGTGCCCGATGTTTTAATCTGTTAATTTGTCTAGAAGAGGTTTAATGCATTTAGGATTTCCTCTATTATTTGCCCTGCAAATATTTTCCTTATTAATTCTAAACAGATAATATACATGCAATTGTTTTTTATAGAGCAATATTCAATGTCTTTTCTGAAAGACTATTTCTAATTTTAAAATCAGCAATTAACTAGGAACTTCTGTGATTTATTTCCTCTTGTTCTAGTCTGCAAAAAGGGAACAAGAATGAATTATTCATGGAAGACAAAAACGTATTCAGTAGACATGATACATCCGTCTATATCTCTTATACAAGGAGTTATCATTATTTACTTTCAAACTATTTTCAAAGAAAGATGAAGATAAGAGTTCGAAATTAAATAGTGCAAATAGAAATGTTATGTTTGTTTGAATTTTTTTAAATTATAATTCTCTCGAGTAAGTAATTTTGGCAATTAGCACTAAACTTGTGCAATTGTACATTGGCAAATGTGACATATAACAATTAACACAAGATAAACTTACATTTCTAACAATATTTATCGAAGGGACATTTTAAAATAATCCCACTGAGAATATATAAGGCCAGTAGAATCTCTGGAATTATATCTTCTACTGTATATAAATGTAAAATTTAAAATGTTGAAAACGATAACGGCCCCTCTTCCTGAAACATATTCATGAGACATGAGGCAAAAATCTCTTTTAGTTGATGTTATTGGGAATATGGTCTTATGCTGTCAGCTAATACTAGTCAGAAGTGTCATATATATTTTTTAATCAGTATCACCCCATGCAATGCAGTAAAGCCACTAAGACACAAGGGATTACAGAGTATGGAAGAATTAGGAACAGAAACATAAATAATGAGCTGGAAGGAAAAGATAAATCAAGTGATGAAATCTTGATGCAGTCTAATACTGCGCTTAAATTCATAAAGTCTAGCTATCATAGCGAAGGGATCATCTGAACAATTAACATGAAAGTATTTATAAAAAAGACACAGAGAGGCAACCTTATGGCGATGGGTAGGCGAATGGAGCCCAGACACCAGACCAGGACCAATAATATTGCGGATTCTTTTTTTTGATCTCATCAAGGAGGTCAAGTTAAATAGCAAAGGCACCAGACCATATTTGTCAGCAATATTCTAAGCATGGGGGAATGCTAGATTTATAGATATTGTAAAATAGATTCGGGAGAGAAAAATTTTCTGGTACGATAGAGTGGAACGATCTTCTTAGCAGTTGAGCTAGCAATGTATTCAATATAGTCTTTCCACTATCCAGGTCAGCTGAGAATGTTAGCCTGAGAAAGGGAAACAAGTCATTCTCTTGGAGGTTAGCATCAGCCATGCCGATGGAAGACAGAGAGATGTCTCGCAGATGATTAATAGAGAGAATTAGGAACTCGTAAGAATTTTGCAGTCTTTTAGAATCAAATTTATGCCCAAGATTATAAAATATATTCCCTTTACTCGGGAAGGTACTGCTCATGCAATTTGACATAATCCAAACATAATAACTATGAAAGCGATAAAAGCTGAATGAAACTGACATCAAAATTAAAATGTTGAGCGCCTCTGTATCAGCGTCAACTGCAGACGTTAATTGCTGTATTTTCCCTTATATTTCATACGACCAATTCCATTTCGTAAAACCGTTATTTGTTTGAAGAAATACCTTCAAGGAACAAAACATTTCACTAGATATTTTCCTCTCGTCATTTATTTGTCCACTATCATTCTGACTGATATAAAGTTTTATATATTATATATTACTTAAAAGTTTATTTTTAGTGGATACCCATGTTTGAAATAGACGTTTTGTTTTCATATTAAATATTGTCTCACGCCTATCCGCTGCACACTCCAGAATTCATGATAAAGAAAATGTGCTCCCCGAGAAGTTCTTTATTCAAATTTCTGGAGTTCGTTTTATTCGTTTATATTATGTCGCAGATTTATTTAATTCCGAACTGTCATACTTTTAGAGTGAAAGGCACCTAAGGCGAAGGAGACAAGTTAGCCTACTAGTTAACTCATAGCTGGGGGAGGGAAGTGATGAATTCTAATCTTGTTCAAACGTATTTGGGCGATATTAAATGGAATGAAATGGGCTGGAATTCAATCTCGGCTCGATGATTTTTCCTTCCGAAACTTTACATCACTCCCATATATATATATATATATATATATATATATATATATATATATATCCACACACACACATACATACATATATATATATATATATATATATATACACACACACACACATACATATATATATATATATACATATATATATCAAGTATGTGGTGCAGTTCAATTTACATTACATGAATCATTCATACAAAAACATTATATCATTAACTTCAATATGTTTTTGTATGAATGATTCATGTAATATATATATATATATATATATATATATATATATATATATAAAATGAAACAAATGGTCAATGATTCCACAGTACTTAACATTTAATTTAAGACAGCGCTCAATACATAGTAGAGTTAAATATTATTTATTTTAGGATATTAAAACATGTTAAAAATCGCTGCAGAATTACAATTTTTGACAGCATAAATGTGTCTCTTCAGGCTATATTAAACTACTGACGAGTGAAAGATTAATTTAATTTCAAAAACAGAATACTTTTAAAAAACAGACTTGTGGTCTTTGCCGTGATTAACCAATCGAATGTGACCTACGCTAAGTTCAAATTCACCGGAAAAAAAAATTATTATGGGTCATGACACGAAGTTGTCTGCGTATAAAAGCTAGACAATTTCCTCGTGGGCAAATACGGAGCGTTACATTATTTCGTAAGTTGTATCGAAGTCTGACGAACCAAAAGCCAAAGTGACGGAGAGTTAATTTAAGATAATGCTAACCAGTTATATGTTCGTTCGTCTTCTTAAATAAAATTTTGTAGTTGATAAATAAAATACCCCTTAAGAAACTGGCAAACAACCGTTGGAAAGAAAACGGATCAAAAATGCAAAACTACTTTGACAAATTAATATGCAACCGTTAAATAAAGAGCATCCATATAAGATGTTAATAATATTAAAGAAACGTCAATACAAACAATATTAAATCAAAATGAATCATACAAATAGAATAAGAAACCATATAAGCTGCACAACAGTTCATCATGATTATTAATATACGAAAAAGTATTATCAAATTCAAAGTTTAAATATATTGTAAGGTAAAAGGACAAACGGAAGGGAAAAATAACTGTTCTTTACTAAAGTTTAATTTAATTTGATAAAATCCACCAGAGGACGAAACGCATTGGTTAAGATGAGTTTTCATTTGTCTTTATCCATATTGTCTTTTCACAGATATATATATATATATATATATATATATATATATATATATATATATATATATATATGATTTATATCTTTTTTCCAAACACACACACATAAAACCATAGCCCAAAACAGTACATATTGAATATCAGATATTGATAATCGATTGTTGTCCATGAACTCCAGAAGTCGATTTTTTAAGGCAATGAAATTTTATCATTGTAAGTATTTCTGTTTTGTAAATGTATTCATAGTTATTTATCAAGAGTCTGTCATAGGACCACAACATTGAAAACACAAGGGAATCGAACTCAATAAACTTGTAAATTGGTCGCTTCGACAAATCTACAAAAAGTCACGACATGATAGACACTCTTTTAAAGGTTTTTAGAATGAACACAGTTCATTTAACATCTACAACGAAGTGAACCTAAGAGAAGTAGGAACAACATAAGATAGGTAGACGAGACCGTTTTGACGACAGAAAAATATTATAAATTAATAAGGTTATAGTATAGAGGCGGCAATTTTCCTAAAGTAATTTAATTAAAATAAACTATATTTGGTATGTTAAACTCTAAATTGTTCCCAGCCTAATTTGTTAATACAAATAATTATCAAAACACAATCATTTTATATTGAACTGATAAAAATTAATTTAGCATTTCTCAAGTTAATGAATTATTATTGGTTCAATATTCAAAGATGACACAGTAGGAAGTCATTGATTGATTTTACGGCTTATCAACTCTTTGCAGGTTACATTAAGTTGGAAGATATTTTTATTGTAAGAAATTTAATACAAGTCTTACTAATTAACCCATAGCTGGGGAGAAAAAGAGGTGGATCGATACCTTTCCCAAGCGTATTTGCGCGTAAGTGAAAATAGCGAACCTAAATGGAATTGGAACTCGGCACTCCGATTAACAATTCGGGTCCATTATCTATTACATACCCAAACATGCGAGCTTACAGTACGTGTTATTCCCAAGTGGTCACACACATCGGCACTGACAAGGCTCGACATTGCTTAACTTCGGTGATCATACGGGAATTAGTGTATCAACGTGAACCAGCTTGCATCACTGGCCATTGCATTTAGAGCTTATAATTCAACGATCAGGCTCAGATTGAATAAGAAACTCATTTGAAATATCTTCCTGTCACAATAATCAAGTTTTAAATCTCCCAAATGTACAAAAAGTGAAACAAGCACGTATGCACACACACGCGCCCGCGTGCACACACACACACACATACACTCAGACAGACAGACAGACACACACACACACACATACACCTCCGCACACACAAAGAGCCAGCTGACTACATAGGCAGAAATATATACACAGTACACGGTGACTGTCACATTGACACCTAAGTCGATCTTCAGGCGGGAAACTGACACAATACTGTGTTGAGTTTTACACACACACACACACACACACACACACACACACACACACACACAAACACACACACACACACACATACACCTCCGCACACACAAAGAGCCAGCTGACTACATAGGTAGAAATATATACACAGTACACGGTGACTGTCACATTGACACCTAAGTCGATCTTCAGGCGGGAAACTGTCACAATACTGTGTTGAGTTTTACACACACACACACACACACAAACACACACACACAAACAAACACACACACAAACACACACACACAAACACACACACACACACACAAACACACACACACACATCTCCAGTGGCTGCAGCTACGGCCTCCAAACGACTTCGGAATCTCCTGCATCTTTTCTGGACTGCCCTCCCTGTTTAAGTTTGTTTCAATGCTGCCATAATCCTTGCCTTCAGCTCATCTTTGGTGTTAAAGGGAGTTTTGTTTGTCTCTCACCCAACTACGCCCTACTTATAATAATAAAGGGTGTTGCAGTCTGGTGAGTTAGAATGGGCAGATGTAAACAGTGATGCGGTCGTAGAAATTTGGTCTGACAGCCATTACTGTGTTATCCTGCTTGCGTGGCAATATTCAGAATCCTGTTGCCAGCCATAGTGTCTTCTAGCAGCCACGCTCTTGACACAAAGCAGCACTACCTTGATGTAAGCGTCCCTCTTGAATCTGGGGCCCTCACTTACATACCCGGGAGTTATTTTCTTATCATTACGATCTTAATGATTTTTCCGAGCTGCCGCCCTTCGTAATTACAATTAAATTCATCCAACTCTTTCTGAATCCTCTGCAATATCCTCAGATTGGCACCCAAACATTTTGAAATGTTCGTATTCGAGCTTACGGTGCGAATGCCAAGCAATGCAGCATGCCATTTCCAAATTTCTGTCGGAATGAATTGCGTAATGGCGGTTTTTCTCATAGACAGTGCCCAAGTGACCTTGTGCAGTAGACAAAATCAAAAACAAACAACGTGCTTGCGTGAAATTAAAAATATAATACTGCGACTATATAAACATTGCAATCTGTATGCATGTATATATACATATATATATATGTGTGTGTGTGTGTGTTTGTGTGTGTGCGTGCGTGCATGTGTGTGTGTATTTAGGCAGCAATCCTTCTTTCATGCACGTTTCATTGAATATGACAGACAAGGTGCTTTGATTTAGTTTATAGAATTTCTCATGTGATATAATGTTATTCTTTTCGGAGAATAAATTATATAATTACATACACACACACACAGACACTACAGAGCTGTTGTACTTGCCATCCTTTTGTATGGTACCTGTATGGAGTCGTGAACTCCATACAGGTACCATATAGGCCTGCTAGATGTTTTCCATAAAAGCTGTCTGCGTGCAATCTGTGGAGTTAAGCTTCAAGATAGGGCATCTAACGTCGACCTGTTTAACAGGCTTAATATCGGAGGAATCGAGACTTTTATCATACAGTGTCAGTTACGGTGACCTGGTTATGTCTTGAGAATATCTGATGACAGGATACCCAAGATTCTAATGTACAGTGTTTTAGTGGCCTCAGCAATTTTCAATCTGCTTGTCTGAATCATCTTCAAGAAGCGAGAGCAAAATCTAGAAGGTCAGCCAATCTAACAGTGATCTCATCTCACAATTCTCACACTTGCTCCATATGTGGCCTCCTTTGTAAATCACTAGCGGGTCTTAAATGCCAAAGATTATCGCACAAAATTTTATAACTGATTCAATAAGTTGGCAGATCTTCATACGTCGAAACCGACGGGAGAGTCCATTATATATATATATATATATATATATATATATATATATATATATATATATATATATATTTATGAGTGTTTGCGTGTATGTATGTGGAGATAAAACGGGGGCTTGAAATGATTTTGTTCTAACCATCTGTCAGAAAAAGGCAATAGTCATGTACATGCATCCTCTTGGACTGCCTTACATACAGGCCAAAATGTTAATTAAAGGATCCAGGCTGGAGGTAATTGACGCTTGTGTATATTTTGGAAGTGCACTCTGTAGGGTTGACTGACTGGATGTGAATCACTGCATTGGATGAGCTAGTCAAGCAGTCAGAAAGCTTGAAAAAATGTTGACTATGTCCTGATCGTAACATCTTAACTACAATCATCGGCATCTTCGAAACAGTAGTCTTACCTACCCTTTTATATTCCTTTGAAATGTGGACCACGTATTGAAGGCATATTAATGTCTTAGAGGTTTCACACCAGCAGTGTCTGAGACAAATCTTGATCCTCAATTTGCTGTCTTGTACACAAGACACAAAAATCCAACAGCGCACAAACATAATTAGCATAAAGAAATACGCGTTCGTAATTAAATGCACTGTACAGCTCATCTGACATGTACGGAGGATGGCAGATTCCTTAAAAGATTTTTTTATGGTGAGCTGGTACAAGGTAATCAGTCTGCTCATAGACCCAGAAAACGTTTCATCGGCGTAGTTAAATGTAACCTAAAGAAAATTGACATTAATGTTGAAGACTGTGAAACTCTCGCTGAAGATTCATCTGACTGTAGTTGGTTTATTTGAAAACGCTGAAACAATTTTGAACAGAAAGAAACGAGAAATATAATCTGTCCCAGAGCCATTAGGACACGAACACACTTGCAGTATGTGTGGGAAAGTCACCCTTTCGGTGGCTGGTTTAGCCTGTCACGTGAAATAACACCAGAGAGGTCAGGTGCAAAACTCCTGTGAATAAATGTTTCCAACATAGATAACACAAACAAACTTTATGTTTGCCACGTATTTAAGAGAAGTTTTCAAACTAACACTGGTCTTAAGAATCACTGACGGGCTCATAGTAGACAGTTAGCTCTGGCATAAATGATGGAAATAATAAGACTCTAAATGAAAAGCACAACAAACTCTACGAAATGAAGAGATGATCTTCTTCTGCAAAGAAGTAGCAATCATCATATATGTGTCTTGATTTGATATCTCGTCTTCCGCTACGTTGCCACTGCCGCGACGCAGCTTCCTTGTGTCTTTTCTATAATTATATATATGCCAATTGTTCTAATGAGTTTTCCTCTTTGGTACCTCGACCACATGAATTTAAGAATTTACTACTACGTTGACAACTACGTCTTTGTCGGAATAACAGTAACGTTACATACGTCGAGAACAAAAACAACATTATTCATAGGGGTCAGTTTCATCTGTTGTTTTTGGAATATATGTACGGGTGTGCAGGTGGTGTAATGAACAACGACTCGAAATGACGTATCAGACAGCCGGGTTCGTTACATTCACCTACGCGCAAATACCCTTGGGAAAGGTACGAATCTCTCTCCCCCAGCCATGGATTAAATAGTAGGATTGTTTTGAGAAAGTCATTGTTCATCACAAACAAAATGTAATTCATTATTCACTCGCAAAAAAAAACAATTTTTCTTAAAATCCAGAATATGTTGGTGCTTTAAAGTACTTACAAGGGGTTGATAAACCGTAAAAAACAAATCAATCTATCAACATATATCCTGTGAATAAAGGGAGTTAACTGTAATTAGATACACCACATAGATGCATATGATATAATCCTTATGGGAAAAATCACCAGGATAAATGGTTAATATTCTCGAACGGTCTGGCGTCAAGGAATTGTAGCAATGTGTGTCGCCATGATATGAAGGAATATTGCAAGAAAATATGGCGAACAAATATAGAGATGAAATAGACCTTTACGCCTTTGCCTCTTGCAGACTGAGACGGAAAATCTTTGCATCTTATTTGACATTAACTGCAACGCCATTCTTATATATGTTGGTTTTGTTCAACGTATCTTTCTATAAAGTTAGCCATCAATCATTTTCTCTCTTCTTTCTTGGACATGAATCGCCTGCCTTCTATAACCATAATAAGAAAAATGGTTTATCCGTTCCACGATCGGCTGATCTGTATTTTCAGTTACGTATTTGTACATTCATTTTATTTTATTTGAGACACACGAGTAACCAGTGGCGGGGGAAATGACTGACGAGATTGCAAGCTCCAAATGTATTTTTTGTTCTGTTTTTAAAATCCATCAACTTTTTTTTAATATCGTATCTGCATACGTATGTACTCATTTGGAATTTGGCGTTATGTCATCTTTGATATATTGTAGCTTCCAAATTCTGAGAAGATAAAACACGTCATATAAAATTAAAGTAGAAATCATCCAAAATTTATTGTATATTTTTCAAAGACACACACACACACACACACACACACACATATATATATATATATATATATATATATATATATATATATATATATATATATATATAAGTTATGAAAAACTTGGTAATCTGTATGGGTAGTCCCAAAGAGTATGAAATCCTGAGAGCTCAATGTAAATCCAGAGCTATTATTTTAAAAAAAAACAGACGACTTTAAGGTTCTATTATAATAATTTATTTCACAGAGCCCTTTTAAAGGACGCCGGAACATCAGATAGCAATTTTGGAAGTTATCTTTTGGAAGTGATATCTGATGATCCGGCGTCCTTTAAAAGGGCTCTGGTGAAATAAATTATTATAATGGAACCTTAAAGTCGTCTGCTTTTCTTTATATATATATATATATATATATATATATATATATATATATATATAT